CATTTAGAAAGACTGTGAATTTTATAAAATTGTCATTATTATCACTAGTAACCAACCCAGAATTCTTGCAGGTTGAATCTCAGATCAGAGGTAGGTACTTAGCGAGAAGTTGGTGGTAACGGGACCTCAGGTGGTCCTAGGGACAGTTTGCTCCCCTGGCCTTTGCCCTGGATGCTCCCTTCATCTCCTTGGATTTATTCATCCTCTGGTCTCAGGAAAGCTCCAAGCCAGCCCTGCCCCATTGAGTTTGTCACATTATTTTCATTTCTTCATTTCTCTTTGGGAGACTATTAAGCTCCTCAGCGGCAGAACTATCCTGGCATCCTGTGTAGCACGTCTTAGGCACAGGTAAATGCATGCTGCTTTGTGCGAGCTTTCTGGATTGGTTGGGGTAAAAGTACCTCTGCTTCACCCAGCATTTAGTTCTAATCATAAACAGGCTCTTGGGTTGGTCCCTAACTCTAGGAGGATGGCTGGTGTGCAGGTGTAGACGCGTGTGGTGATACTCGCAAGGACAGGCCTCTTCACTACCTGTTACCTTCAGGTTCACATGGGCAGCATCAGCACCAGAGCAGATAACTCCCACTGACCAAATGTGTTAAACAGCAGAGTATGACAGCTTGCTTGGGGTTTGTCACATGTCTAGTGTCTTTGAGTTGATGAAGTGATTAGCAGGCTGTATGCTTTGCCAGGCATCTGTAGCTAGGAGAGATTAAAGAGTTGGCATCCCCCAAGAGTTTGTGAGTGCCTCAGCACGAGAGCCTCCTCTAAGAAGAGATGAAACCTCACAGTGGCTCACTTGCACTGCTGTTTAGGACCTGAGAGGCAGGGGGAAGAGTTGGATGGGTCATGGTGATAGCTCATTTTTTATTCCATCTGTGAATGTGATGCCCTGCTCTCAAAAGACCAGAGAATCTGGAATGCAAAGAAGAGGAATGGAACACAGTAAAAGAGGTAGCAAGATGACCCAGCTGCCGGTATGTTCTTGAAGTCCATTTCAGGGGAAACTTGTCATGGAGTAAATGGTAATTTTAGAGAAATGGCCTTCTTAGACTTCACAATTTCTGGACTTTATCACTAGGGTAGTTTGGATGGTTAATACTGGATTCTATTTTTAGCCCTTTTGGAGTGAAAGCAGGAGTTCATGTGCTTGGCAATAGTTAGGAATTTTCCACTCATTCCCCATTAGGGAAGCACTGATCTGAGTTGAGGCCATTAGAGGTCTTGCTCATATTTCAGTCATCCTTCTGTGTCATCGCCTGGACCTGATTCAGGTTGGGGAGCAAAGGGGAGTGGTGACAAGAAATCTTTCCAGAGGATGACTTTAGTGTCACCTACTCCTATTCATCATGAATTTAAGGGCCTTTCGAGACTAATGCTGGAATATGTTGACCCATGATGGCAGAAGAACAACTTTTTGAGGCCAGGAATAGGGCACAAGGTCTCTTTCAGTTCACTTCTTACCTAGGGAGCAATGTTCCTGCAGGCACAGCTGTTGACTCATTCCACTGCAGGCTAGCCCTGCGTCGTTCAGGTTTGCCTTGCAGAAGACAAAAGTCACTTAATTGATGCAGAGAATTAATGAATTGGAAGAGTTGATATCATTTCATAAACAAACACTTGACAGAGGCTTGCCTTTGTGAGCCAGATCTACACTGTGCCAGCATCTTCAGAAGAAAAGATTTAGGCAGCAGAAAGGAGGGAAAGTTGATAGGGAAAGAGAATAACTAGCCTATCAGGAGTTCCAGCCCCATGCAGACCTTACTGAAGTATCCAAACACTGGTGATGTCCTGACAGGTAACTGTCAAGTCAACATGAGGACATATGAAGGTAATGCAGGCTGTGAAGTAGGGCATAAATGAAACCAGGGAACTTTTTCCATTGAAACAGAATGGTCAGGAGCAGCCACTGCCTCTCTCCCAGTCAGAAATGAATATCTTCATAGTATTAAGTCCCCAGATCTATCTGAGGATCAGTAGAATTTGGATCTTGATGTGACTGTGTAGTTTTGGCCAGGAGTGTGTTAGTGTTCAAGGAGGAGTGTGAACACATTACAACTCAGCCTTTTCTGTTTCCTGGGCTGTTGTGCAGGACTGGTTACTGAACCAGAGGGCTTCATCACTCATAAAATAAAATAAAACCCAGGACACTCCTGACAGCTTTGGAGGAGTAAAAGGGATTGCCTAGAGCTGGGTCTTACATTAAGGAAAGCGTTTAGTAAAACTTAGCATTGATCACTCTCCAGACCTTGCCAGAATGTGGTCACTTTCCTGTTCCTTTTATTTATTTATGTATACAGAACTGGGGTACAGGCCAGAGGTGAGAGGTTTCACCAACGACAGAGCAGGGAGCAGAACAGGCAGATCAACAAAGTACACTGCTGAGGGGAGCAGCGGGCCAGACAGGAAAAGTCTGCCACACCATGTGGGTGTCACCTCCGGGGCTGGGGATTGAACTAGCACTGAGGGAGCTGCTGCCAGCTTGCAGTGCTGTGTCCTAACCCGTTGCACCACCAGGAAGAGCCCACTTTCCTTCTCCTTTTGGCCACCAGGTTTGTTACCTTTGACAACTGACTTTTCTTGGTCAGCTCTTGATGACTGTAGTTTGAAACTAGCTGGCTCTGTAGCCTGCACTTTCAAAAGGATGGGGATGAGGTGGGATGGCTCTTGTGTCAGTCTCTTCCTCCCACCCAGTGGCCTATTCTCCCCCAAATGGAGAGGGTATCTGGGACACTAACCTCACTTATTTTCTTATTTCCCCTTCCGCCTCTTCTCTCTTTTCACCCACTCCCTTTCTTTTCAGTCTCCTTTTCTTTTATTCTATCATTGACTCCTCTAGATCTTGTTCCTGCTTCACCGAAAGCCGAGGTAGATGAGCCAGACCTTGCCACAGCAATCAGTACTAGCTTTTTACCAAGTTTATGTTTATCTGAATATCTTCATAGGAAAGAAATCTATGACATTGTCACCGTCTCCAGTGGGGGCCTGTGCTCCTCACTGCAAGCCCTTCCTCCTGAAATACTTCCCCCCATTCTTATGTGACTGTAAAGTGTGGCTTGATCTGTTATGCTCCTGGAGCTTATACCCAGGGGCCACTGCAGGGAGTTGAGGGAAAGGTTGGTTTGGGTTAGAGATTAGAATTAGGGTGTTGCTTTGTTACATTCCAGGTGTCCTCTGCCTAGCCTGGTCTAAATCTTTGCAACTCTCATCACCCTGAGAGTGAATCAGTAATACTATTTCTGGTTGATAAGTATGGTATTTCTGTTTTCCACTGGGGCTTTAGAGTAAAGGATATGAGTGTTCAAAATTACTCTTGATAATAAGAACAAGTTAGCTTTTTCACTTGTTTAAGATTATTTCAGAATAAATACTGACATTGGCTTATTCTAGAATGCCACATTTTCTTAATTTAGAGTAACAAGTTGAATTTCAGCGGCCATATTACACTGCTGATAGAACAAGCATGCAATCCTTGTGCAGAGTCTGATTAGAACCCTTCCCCTGTTCTGAGTTCTTCAATTTTGTTATTTAGAGTTGCATCAAAGCAGAGCCAGGAAGATACTTTAAAAACACACACACACACAAGACTGATATACATATTCTAAACACATTTAGATCATTAATATGGAAAAAGACCAATTAGCTAGAGTTGCAAGTAAAATAAAGCAATGGAGTTATGATAACACCTGACACAGAAACTGCTAAGTGAAGGGTGCCATTCAAACTATGTCCCGTAAGTTTATTTAAACCACAGACAACCCTGTGCAGTGGGCAGGGCATACAGGGAGCGTGACTGAGAAAACATACTGTCTCAGATGTGATTTCCAGCCTTTAATAAAGTGAAAGGATGAGTGCTGTGGGCTGACATAGGAAGAGAGCACTTCGTGAATAAGATGGGGAGGGTAGGCTCACTGTCCCTCAAAACATGAGTGATTGCCCCATGATTTTAAAAGAACCAAGAGTTGTTGATATCGGTCACTAAAATAGCTCTTTTTGTTGGGAAGATAGAGGGGTTTTTAGAATGATGAATACTGTAATGCTGCTTAGCAAATGCCCTTGGATAACCTCAGGTGGCACATGTGTCACCCGAGTCAGAAGGCACCAGACGTGGAAACAAGGGTGTGACTGTTGTCTCGTCACTTTTGGCACAGGTGCTTTGAAGGTGTTGAATCAAAGTCAGAGGAGGTTAATGAAGAAGGAACATTCGTGAGCCCTGACATGAGCTACATAGTTGATACATATTTTAGCAAGAATTCCCTCTTTGAAAATGTTTGCTTTGGGAATTGTTTGCATTCTTAAGAATGACAGAGACTTTCTTTGCTGGTCTATATGTTGTGGATCTCTCCATTGAAGGGAATTTATATAGCACTCATTTTCTGACTGGTACTAATAGTAATAAGACCATAAATATAAATAACCTAGATTACAAATTCAGCACATCTTCAACTACTTACCTATTTATATCATAGAGTGTGTTTGATTTTTAGCTCGATTGTCAGTCATTCAGGTATGAGTGGTGTTCTTTGCCCTAAGAAGACCTTGATGTGAGTTTTCCTCTTGTTCCTCCCATTGATACAGATAACGGAAAGAAAAATTTGGAAACCTTAAGTGTGGTGTTGGGCTCATTACAAAGAGAAATGTCTCATGTTAATAATAGTGATAGTAATTACGAGTGTGTAATAAGGTCTGAGAGAAGACTCATGGGTAGGACATAGACATGCAAAGTATTGTAGGATAACGTATCTCACAGTACAACAGACAAAAGCACAGCTCTGGGGAATATTAACGTTATATTGGAAGCTTTGTGATTGAATGTGATACAAATAAATGAGTCACACTTGGCTTGGTAAGTTTTTGATATGCTTATATAATGAAAAAAATTATCTTCTTAAGGGCTAGACTTATAAATATTTGCTTAACATGGTTCATTAATTAAACATGTGAAAGTGCTTATCTAGCATAAAACCAGGGGACTCTCGGTATCCGTTTTGTTTTTTCAGAATGAAAGTGCCCTTGTGAAGGAAAAAGAGCTGTCAATTGAACTTGCAAACATCAGGGATGACGTTGGTAAGTAGGGCATTGAAAATGAGCAACCTAACGAATGTCTTTTCCTGATGGGCCTGAATGTGTAACTAAAGCAATGACGTCTCCCGTAATAAGCCAGCGCAAAGCTGCCTAGACAAGTGAAGTGTCTTTCCCTGCACAGTGGTGGGTTGTTGGAACCTTGCAGGAAGCCGTCATTTTTACGACTATTGTTATAAAGACAGTCCCCTAACTGCTCCACTGGAACTAATCAGGCCCTGTCTGGGCTCTTTGCAGATGGCAGCGCTTATATCAGTCTAACTTGGATACTGTGACATGCGCCCCTCCACCCAGGCAGTCCCAAAAGTCCCAAGACAAGCATTAGCTGGGTGTGTAAAGGAGACACTCTCTGTAAAAAGCAGGGATCATGGCTTCCTGCCACCCACTAGATACCTTGCTGTGAGCTCCTTGGTGATAGAAACGCAAATCTGGGTGGACCCACAATTATTGGAGGTCCTACTGAAACTTTTAATTTTAGGCTGAACATAAGAAACTTTACAAAGGCTAGGGTGATTCCCCACACCCTAGGACCATCCCAAGGAAAGGGCTTTTACTCTAGGCCAAAGGTTAAGCAAGTATTTGCCATGTTGCTTGATCTCATTATTCTTTGAAGTCCTGTTATTCTGTTTCCCTGGGAACCAGTCAGTACAGTTGAATTAAATGGCTCCTACCCTTTGGCCTGATGGTCTGTTGAGAGCGACCATTTCTCCATCCATTCCGATCCTAGGTACAGGTAGGGGCCTCCTCTGTGTGCTCAAAGGGCCCAGGTGTCCTCGGTGCCTCGCCCAGTGCCTTCCCCTCCAAGCTGGCCATGCAAATGTCAGGGACCCCACAGTTCCCGGGGCCACAGATCTGAGATGTACAGAACACAGGGTCATGATTCCAAACTTAGCTTCCACCTCCACACACATTTCTTCTGGCTTTTTCTTTTTTTTTTTTTTAAACTTAAAATAATTTTTTTCTCTTCACTGTGAGTCTTGTGACTTTTTGCCCTTGAGATAGGTCAGTAATGGCTTCTTCTGTCCTCGAAGGAAAGCAGCCCCTGTGGAAAAGCTATACATATCAGTTCCTCCTTTCCAGATCACCTGTGTGTGATCAGAGCAGCGAGCTGTCCTGGTGAAGGTGCCTGTGCCAAGCCACCCTTCTGCAGGTGGTCCAGAACATAAACCCAGATTCTCATTTCTGAGAGAGGCCTGCCAAGAGTGGTGATGGTGGGATCTGTGTGGAAAGCTCCTGGAATTCAGGGCCCAGAAGTATATGTGCCTTCTCCATGAAACAGGTGATTTTCTGTGGTCAAGTGATTCTGATCATGGATTTTGGAGGTAAATGATCCAGGTCCTTGTAGAGTGAGCTGGTTAACCTCTTTGCCCTTAGTTTCCCTCCATAAAAAGGAAGGTCAATTAAAGAAGATAATGGTGATTGACTTGTCTTTACAGACTCATAACTACTAGGAATGTAGCAGCTTTAATCTGAAAATAGGAGATAAAATCTTCTATTCTGGGCTGATTGCTTCCCCAGAGAGATATCTGTCTCCCCATATGTGAGCTTTGGGTTTGGGGGTGTCTGATGTGACCCCACTAGGTAAGGCATACTCAGTGCAACAATGCTTCCTTCCCTCTGTGTTTTCCTGTAGCTTCTGAATGCATCAAGAACCACACACAGTTACACTGGGGTTTTGCATGTAACTCTTATTTGATTTCCACATCAGTGCTAAGAATAGACCCAGAACTCACCTACCAAATGAAAAGGCTATGGAGGGGTTGGGCCGGGAGGCCGTGGGAGAAACAGGGGCTGTCAGCCCTAACTCTTCAGAGCAACCACTGAGCCACTATAGAAATTGTTCCTGAGAGAAGAAGGGAAGATGTGCATCAAGTGTTGACTGTAAAATCTATAAATTCTAGCATCTTCACCTGCAGAGTATTCCCTTGAAGGGGAAAGAGAATCACGCTTACAAGCCTGATGTGACTTTAGTTTACAGACTTCAAACTAAAAAAGGTTAAAAAAGATACAGAAGGCCACTACATTATGATTAAGGGGACAATACAACAAGAAGAAATACATCAATGAAGGAGCACCAAAATATATTAGCAAACTACTGTCATCTATGAAAATATATATTAGAGAGAATACCTACATAGTGGGAGACTTCAACACGCCACTCTCAACAATGGACAGATCAACAAGACAAAAAATAAGACACTAAAGCTCTGAACAAGGACCTGGACAACATGGGTCTAGTGGACATCTATAGAATACTGCACCCCAGAAAATCTGAGTACACATTTTTCTCAAATCCACTTGGATCATTCTCTAGGATTGACCACATACTGGGTCACAAGATAAATATCAATAGATACGCTAAGTTCAAAATCATACCAACTATATTCTCCGACCACGAAGGAATCAAACTAGAAATAAACCATATGGAGAAGGCAAGAAACCCACCTACCACATGGAGACTAAAACCCACACTACTGGAAGACCATTGGATCAATGAGGAGATCAAAGATGAAGTTAGAAAATACTTGGAGAAGAATGACAATGATGACACAAGTCTCCAAAACATATGGGACACATTAAAAGCAGTTATAAGAGGAAAATATATAGCAATTCAAGCTCACATAAAGAAACAAGAAATAGCTGAAAGAAATAACCTAATGTCCCACCTTAAAGAATTGGAAAAAGAACAACAAAATAACCCAAAAGCCAGCAGAAGACAAGAAATAATAAAAACAAGCCTGATGTGTGAGTGACCATATAAAAAGGGAGAGGGTCAGTCCTGTTTCCCTACTCCTATCTAGACCTCTTGGCAACTGGAATTGATGGATGCCCTGGAGAAAAGGGACTGAGAGGACTGGTTAGAGAGGGAGGAGAGAAGGTATTTCTAGAGGCTGTGAATTCAGACAAGGAAGAAGCAAAAAGCCGCAGCTATAATCAGAAATGTTAGGGCCATTTATTGCAGACTCCAGAACAGGGAGTGCTTATCCCGCAAATCTAAAAATTACTCTTTTAACTTTTTCATATCAATAAAACACTGTACAAGACTCTACCAATATCTACTGGTAAGTACCCCTCAGTGGTGCATCTCCTTGGTGTAAGCAATTCAATCAAACACTTGCAGATCTAGCCAAAATCAGCTTTACCTGTGCTTCTCAGCCTGGAGATCACCTTAAGTTTTTTTTTTTTTTAATACTTATTTCCCCAGGACTTATCCTAGAATGACAGAATCAGGACATTTGAGGTACTTTTTTAATTACTCAGGTGTTCATCAAATACAGCTTGAGAATCAGTAAGCTACGTTAAGAGGGAACAGTGGGCGACTTGGACTAGGTTTGGGAGGGTGGAGGCCCATGGCCAAGGGCTCTGAACAGCAGGCAGGCCCTGGAGGAAACGCCCTGGTGGGTGAGAAAGGGTGCAGAAAGGAAAAATGCAAAAGTTCGCCTGCTTTGAAATTGCACATAGGGTCAGCTGGCTACCTATAAAAAGGAAAGAATATTCTGTTCTTTTTTTTTAAGATTTATTTATTTGTTCATACAGAACTGGGGTACAGGCCAGAGGCTCAGGGGCGGTGAGAGGCTTCACCAGAGACAGAATGGGGAGCAGAACAGGCAGATGGACGAAAGTACACTGCTGAGGGGAGCAGCGGGCGGACCAGGAGAGGTCTGCCACGCCATGTGGTCTCCTCCGGGGCAGGCGGGAATCGAACTCATGTGGAAGTGGCTTTAGCTTTTCAGTGCTGTGCTTTAACCCGCTGCGCCACCAGGAAGGGCCAGAATATTCTGTTCTTTCTCTTCTTCCTCCCTTCACCTCTGCCAGACAGGCCTGGCTGACAGATCTCTGAGTCAGCTACCAGAAATCAACCACAGAAAGAAATGCCCATCGTATTTGCTGACACACTTCACATTTACAGTATACCCCAGTTTGTGCTTTCTCTGGGAAGCTACCACAGAATCTTCTAGAAAGTGTGTGCCTTGACTAGTGCCCCCTAGCAGAGATTTGACATGTATTACCCACACTGATTGAGAACCCCTGGTCATAATAGTTTTTAAGTAGGAATTTGCTGTCAAACTCTGAGAACTTCTCATTAGTGATGCTTTCTAAAGCCACCTCTGACATTACATGTGGGGGAGATTTTTCCATGCCCACAACCAATTCTCCAATACTAGCTGGTGTCCAACGATTCAATGCAATGAAGACACAAGCTGTGCAGACTTAGTGTCGACCCTATAGGTTATAGACTGGTCTCAGGAGGCTGCTTCCATATCAGACACCACTTACAAGCCATGGGAACCTCCTTTTTAACCAACCAGCTGTAACTTTGGAGGTTTCCATAACCCCCTCTTCAGTGTTTCAAAATAATGTTTAGGTGGATAAATTTAGGGATAAATTGGCTTTATTAAATGAGTCACAAATCAGGCAGCATCCCATCTGGCAAGGAGTTGTACCAAATGAGAGGTTTTATACTTAGAAAGAAGGTGGGACAAGAAAGATGATTTCAGGTAAAGGCAGGGGTCTTATCATGCAGATTACTTAACTAGTGCTGAGCCGGAGATTCCAGATTGGCTGGTTTAAAATTCCACTTTTGGGAGACGCTCAAGCTGGATTTAGGTTGAGCATTAAATCATGGTAGATATTCGCATAAATGACTCCATTTGGGGCCTATTGCTTTCTTTTTTTAATATCAGGTTCAATAATTCATAGGATGACTCACAGGATACAGGAAGACACTTTGCTTACCTTCATCACTTTCATATAAGTGAACAGGGACAAACTTTGAAGTCAATGAAGAGATGCATAGGGCAGGTAGTGGGAGGGGATCTGAGCTTTCACAATAAGGGCACCCTGTCCCTAGGTGCCACCCTACCAGCCGCTTGTGTGTTCACCAACCTGGGAGCAGGGAGAGCCTTTGTTTGGGAGTTCTTATAACTCTGACTCCAGCTCCTCTTCTCCCTGTAGGTCAGTGAGTGGGACTGAAGATTCTAGTC